CCTCCTCGCCATGGCCATGATACGCCTTAGCGAGATACCAGGTGGCTGACTCACGCCGCGCACTTTCGTAGTTATACTGTACTGCATGCACTCGTGCGGGTCGGTTGCCTACTCGCACGGGGCCACAAGGAGCCGTGGGCAGCGGGGATAGGCAAACCCGCCCGCACCCGTGCATGCGGTACAGTATAACTACGAAAGTGCGCGGCGTGAGTCAGCCACCTGGTACAGTAGGCTAGCCCGCACGCACACCTGCATGGGGCACAGTCTCACTAAGAAACATTTCGGGCCACTCTGTAGAACTGCTGAATAGAAAGGGGTCCGCGGTAAACCCCTGTAATTATCTCTGCACGCCAAAGTCGGTACATACACACACACGAAAGAGCGTTACCTCCATTCTAAATAAGAAAAAGAAATAACCGGAAGTAACTCTTTCTCATTGCGTATTTTTCGTGTGTGCATTTTGTCCGCTCCATTAATGGACTTTCCCTATCCTATATCCATCTCAGGGCCTTTCTGTTGAATCTTCACAGCTGCATCCATTCGTCATTCGGAGTCAAATGTTTCACTCCATCTATCTACCTTACATATATGCGTTTCTTCCAATCTTGTGATTGCGACGAGCTCACTTGAAATGTAAAGCAACGCCGCTTTGCAGGACAGCCCACAACCCAAATAGAAGATTCCCTCCCTTCTTTGGAATTTCTATACTCACCTACTAAGGTCCGTGTGCTAACCGCACTGAGGGGGAACGCTGGCGCCCTGGCTGATGCCTTGGCTGACGCCTTGGCTGACGCCTTGGCTGATGCCTTGGCTGACGCCTTGGCTGACGCCTTGGCTGACGCCTTGGCTGACGCCTTGGCTGACGCCCAGCGAGGCGCCCGCTCGCTCCTACATGGGGGGGCATCCTCGGGGCCCGTGGGGTGCGCGGCAGGCGCGGCGCCCCGCGGTGCGAGGCGGCGCGGCCCGCGCGGGGGCACCGCTGCGGCCCCGGTGACTCATGGCCGGCGAGGCACCTCGCGAGGCACCTCGCACTCGCCGACCACGTCGCTGCACGGGAGCGGCAGTGCCAGGGGCAGGGCCAGGGCTGCACGCGGCCTCCAACTTGTTGCCGGCCTCCTCGGCGGGGCGGGCGGACAGTCGCGGACACGCGCGGGCACGGCGCCCGCGGACAGGGGCCGCGCGGTGCGGTCGGCCCGGACAGGGGGAGGGGCCCGTCGAACCGGCGGAGGTGGAGGGCCCGTGGAGGATGCGGTGACACGGCACGTCACGTCACGTCACCTCTCACGCGCGGCGCGGGGGCGGCAGGCGGCTGGGGTGCTCCGTGCGGGTCGGAGTGCGGGCCACGTCTGTGCCTCGCGGAGGGCCCGGCCCGGCCCCGCTAGGCCCCCGCGTGGGGGATCGGGTGTTGCGGAAGGGAAGGGAGTGGGGGAGGGGTGGGCTGATGGTCCGCTCTAGTCTGGCGCGACGCTGTCTGCCTGGAAAGGCCTGACCAGGCCTGCCGCCGCCGCCACCCCCGCGCGTCGTCCCGCTGTAGTGACCCCCGCGCGGTGAGTGTAGCGCCCACAGCACCGCGTCTGCCTCCGGCACTGAGCGCCACCTCTCGGTGAGATTACTCCAGCCGGCGCTACCCCTCGCACCGAGCCCTGCCCGCGAAAATTCAAAACGCAACGCGTCCAATAAATTTCAAACATAACGTGTCATTTTCAGAATATTCTATATTGCATTTAAGAAAAATTTCAACATTGAAATCACAAAAGTAACATGTATTTTATAATTATTAGTATTTACATTACAAGATTACAAGTCTAGAAATTAAATAATTAAATCACATCACATTTAGAGCAGAGCACCATGTAAACAACACTGAAAATACATGAAGTGGCACGGCTATCAATTTTTATGACCAGAAGATCAAAAGTACTTTTTGATAAAACAAACTACATGGACTTGTGTTTGGTGACACTTTTGCTTCAAATTTAGAAAGTCATCTATTTCCAGTTAGTCCCCGCCATACTGAAGCAATACTTGTAACAAGACCTCCAGCCATACTGGTTGCTTGTTGAGTACTGCTCATTTGTTGAGAGAGTTGACTTAATGAACCAGGCATTTCAGGACAACCTGGTATTAGAGGAACCTGTTTACAAAATAAATGTAACACAAATAGAATGAATGCTAGAATTCATGGTGCAGATAAAATAGTAACAAGTCATAATATTTTTGGAGGCATGATTTTAACTCACATTTTCCCATTCCAAAGGTAAGGCATCACTTTCATCCTCCGACCCTGAATCATCACTTGCCTCAGCAAGATCTCTCTGTAGCTGGTCCTCAACAGAAATAGCTAGCATAGGATCAATTTCTAAAGGACCTTGTCTGAAAGAAAAGACCATAGTATATTACATAATCCATACTTGTTGGCTTTTGTGAGCACCCATAACTTCAGATTAAGTATTAGTTTTTCATATAAAAATTACATTATGTTTCTTACCTTCCCAAATCACTGACTTGAGTGTCCAACAGATGCAATATGTTTGACAAAGTGTGATTAGGATGTAACAAATCAGGACTGACACTCTGAGAAAAGCAAAGATGAAGCACATTCCAGTTTAAACGTGCAACTCTTTTGGCAAACTTTTGCTCGCTGAGCTCAGTTCCACAGAAATCACTGCGAGAAATGAATATAGATAAATAGATAGATAGTAATAAAGCTGAAATTTACTTTCAGAAAGTACCACACAAGCAGCCAACCTGTAATGTAATTTGCACGGTAGGCGAACATCCAGATAAAATGCCAAAACATTAATGAGCTGAGTAGTGTAGGTCAAAGCCGCACTGATATTGTAGCCTGGATTACGTTCCGCAGTATCTCCACTACTGGGTACACCATCCTTTGTCGAGGCCACTGCGAGTACAAATAAAATTAAACTGAAGAAACACAAAATGTTGGTTCAGTACACGAAGTTACTAGTACTGCGTTGAAATCATACCCCAATCGTTGTAGGCAGAATAGTTTCCTGAGCCAGGTAACATGGGAGCAACAATACAATGCTGCAGCTCTCCAGTGCTGTCAGTAAACACCCATCTACCTCTGATGTAGGTTGTGCGTAAAGCATCAGCTAAAGCTGATACAGTGTCATTACAATCTTCCATGCTATAAAAGTTAACAGTTGTTGAGGTAGTGACTTCAGTATTAAGTGAGACAGTTACAAAGCATAGAAAAAATTAAAATACCTGCGTGAAGGAGTGATCACTGATATGGGGAAAATGAAGCGAACAAGCTGGTGCACATTGCTTCGAATAATCCTTTTTAACTTTTCTTGCAAATCTTTGACAGCAGAATCCTTCTTATTACAGGTGGCTTTTAAATTGACCACCATTTCAGCGACTTTTTTGACGCGATCTGAATAGACTGGTAGATATTTGAGCCGAGAACCATTTTCTTCCTTTAATTTCCGCTCCAAGGCTTCGTCTATTCAAAAACACAAACACAAACAAAGAAGATGACATGACAGAAATAAGAGGAGCATTGGAGTGAACAGCTTATCTTATAATGAATGTTTCAAAAAGTAACAAGTTGACATACTTTCACTAATATTGTCTTTAGTGGTAGTCAATAGAAGGCGAAGAAGCTGGACGCGATCTCGACATGCATCAATTTCATTTTTCTGAAACAGAACAAGAACACAATAAAAACAAAAGAGCTAACTGGTACCTTACCAACTCTACAAAAAGAAGCATTCACATACCACCACATCTCTTTCCTTTTTGATCATCAGTCTTCTTTCACATTCCTTCTCAATACAAAGTCGTCTTTTCCGCACTTCCAGCAAACGCAGCTGTTTCTCAGCAAACCTGATACACAAATTTGGAATTCAATATTTGGTCAGTATCACAAAAATAACACCCTATATAGGAAAAACAGGGAATAACTAAAGAACACATGAAAAACCATATTGACATCCAGTATAGCAGACATTTAAGAACTGATGCATAAGACAGGGAGAGGAGAATGTCATGGAACAAGCACATGCTGAAACAATGATAACGGATTGATGCAAAAAAGGAAAAAGGAGTTAGGATAAGCCTACCTTTCTGATACGGGTGAGGTTGAGAGAACAAAGTCCCCATTTCTCACACAAATAGTGCAGTGAAAGGACTTTTGGCGACTTTGACACAAGGGGCAGCTTTCTCTAACCCCTGTTTCCTCTGTACTGTCTTCTATTAACGAAGATAAATTAAAATCCGCAGGTGCAATACAGCTGTCGTCAGATCCACTTGTAGCCATTTCCTATGTTTTCCAAAACTAGTTTGTTTGTGCAAAATGATGACCTAAAGATACGCTAGATGGCGCATCAATCGGACCATTGATTGTCATTGAAACTCATGTGGCGTCTTGAATGTTTCAAAATTTCATATTGGAATGAAGAATATGCTATAATCGAAACAGAAATATGCAGATTATTACTTATACTAGAGAGCAGCTGTTAGTTATCGCATACTTACGGCAATAAAACTTAATATCAAACAAATTTTTCTATGTGGGTGTTGTCTAGACTTGATTCCATTAGTCGCCAACAACCGACAATAAAAAGTTGTATGTAAAGAAAAATAAAAGCTCTTTTTATTGAGGATTGTAAGTGAGTAAGTTTTTAAAATGTCTTGAAAACCTTTCTTTTTATTTTAAAAGGGATAAATACTCTTTTTGGAAAAGTCAATCTTATTTAGCCTTTTGTAATATTTGTACTGCTTGTATTGGTAGCTGCATCCACGTCATAACACACACGGCAGATCAGCTGTCACGGCAGAAGTTTGGTTATAGTTGCTGTTTTCCGTGGAAATTTAACTGAAGAACTACTTATTTGGCAATTACTGAAGTCACAATGGTTTCCCTACTAAATACGGTTGATACTGGTCATGAAGACATGATTCATGACGCTGAAATGGACTATTATGGACTGCGTTTGGCGACGTGCTCTTCGGACAACTCTGTGAAGATTTTTGATGTTAAGAATGGCACACAAACACTCTCAGCAGATTTAAAAGGACATTATGGACCTGTTTGGCAAGTAGCATGGTCCCATCCCAAGTTTGGAAACCTTCTTGCTTCGTGTTCATATGATAGGAAGGTTATCATATGGAAAGAGAGTGGCGAGTGGTCGAAAGTGTATGAATACAGCAGCCATGACTCCTCTGTTAATTCTGTTGCCTGGGCTCCACATGAATTTGGTTTAATTCTCGCATGTGGGAGTTCTGATGGTTCAGTTTCCATTCTATATAACAGCCCTGAGTCTGGAACTTGGGAAGCTAGGAAAATTCCTGGCGCACATACCATTGGCTGCAATGCCGTAAGCTGGTGTCCAGCTGCCACACCAAATCCAGCATTTGATTCAACCATGAAGGATCGCCAGCCCCTTGTCAAAAGATTAGTCACAGGGGGCTGTGATAATCTCGTCAAGATTTGGAAGGAGGATGGAGATCGTTGGGTTGAAGAAAAGAAACTAGAAGTTCACTCTGATTGGGTGAGAGATGTTGCGTGGGCACCATCAATAGGACTCCCACGATCCACCATAGCTAGTTGTTCTCAAGACCGAAGAGTTGTCATCTGGACGAGTGAGGACAACATCACCTGGACACCCTACACCTTGCACACTTTTGATGATGTTGTTTGGAATGTGAGCTGGTCCTTGACAGGCAACATTTTAGCTGTCTCTGGTGGTGACAATAATGTCAGTTTATGGAGAGAGAACAATGAGGGGCAATGGATCAGAATTGATGGTAAAAGCAAAGAGCAAGGACAGTTGACTGGTGGTGAGCAGAGGGAAATGTAATGTATAGAATTAAAATTTCCAAACATCCGTAAATGGACATGTTGAATATTTTTTGTCAGTCCTCAAATTTCTGTTTATGTTTCAATTAATTTCTTAAAATGGCCTGATTTGTATATTAGATTTGAATAGTATTGCTGTTGGCTCTACTTGTAAATATGGACCTGCTTCCTGATGCATTTCAAACATCTAGTAGGATAGAGGTATGTTCTTCCTACATGCAAGTTCGGTGTGCAAAATGTCACAATCCTGTTCAGGATTTTTCTTATGTTTTAATTAAAATAAAAATAATATTCCATTGACTCATGTCTCTTTTCCTTCGCCCTTTAATTCAATCATATTCTAGCATCTCATGTTGAGACTCAACACAAATTAAATACTTCAGTTGGCTTACAGGAGCACAGTACATTTTGAGACAGAAAATCATTTCCAAGTCATTTCCTTGCTGCCTCCGCCTCCGTGCCGAAGCGAATCCTCGCTCCGCGCCAAGACGTCTGCTGTGCTGTCTGCTAGTCCGTCTCTTATCAATCTACGATCAGCTGAGATCTACTGCCGACCTCCAGTGTCAGCAGGCTGCTTCTTAGCTGGAGTAGAAATCTTTGCACGTTTTCTAAACATACATGGGAAAGAAAATGATGACGTCCAACCCGGGAAGTGAGCTTGGTTAGTGTTTTGAAACGATGTACTTTTACAATTGTAAACATGCATAACATAACCTTATTGATAAAACTCAACAGAAACTTGTTAAGTGACTCCATTCTTTTGTATTTACTAACCATTATTACCCATCTAATTTTTATTTTGTCTGCTTTCTGGTCGTGATAAATGATAACAGATATTTAGATTTCACCTCATGGCGGGTTTACGATGGATTTTCTTATGCTATGTCGTACCCTTATGTTATGTCGAAAAGTCAACTTTGCTTGTCTCTTATGGGACCGTTTACGATGCTATGTTGATCGTTATGTTATGTTGCGACATAACTCCTTGCAACATAAGTCAACTATCGAGTTGACTTATGTTCTACTTCGACATAACATAAGGGTCACGTGACGCGGGAACCAATGAGAAACGCGAGAACGCGCGCGAAGCAGTGGAAACCTAACCTACAAAGTAAATTATGGATTCGGACAATTTAAATTTGAAGCTGTCATACAAAGAATTGACAGCAAAAATTAATTTTAAATTTCTCGCAATGGTTTTAACTCCCCCAAAAATATAGTTTTATGCTTTTAGGTACATTTCACATAAGGTTCCTTGCAGACATAACGTAACCACCGTAAACACCCCCTTCAAAACCGACATAACATAAGCTCTTTCAACATAACATAAGTTCTGACATAACATAAGAAAATCCATCGTAAACCCGCCATCAAGGAACCATCACAGAAACTGATTCACACAAAAGTTTTTATGTGGAGAAGACTGACTTGGCATATCGAAATGCAGAACACCCTGAGTTTTCTTCAGACACTTGTTGAGCCATGCTGTTTTCTACTATGATGGAAATTCCGTTTTGACATTTGCTATTTAGCTCTTTATTCAGAAATAGCTTTCCTTTCTTGAGGCTCTTTTTTTTTTTTTTTTTCCTTTTTAATCATCATTGCTTCTCTATTATGTTAAATAATAGCAGTCATAAGACAATGATCCTTTGATTTTGTTATAATCTCACTGCAATAGTCATCACATATATTTTGTAGGAATTTTTCAGTTTCTAATAAGTGTTTTTGCTGTCTGCTTTGAAATATTATTCCTGCGTTTGTGTAACTGTGTTTTCTTATATTGTTTCAGATTTGGGATGGCTAAACTCTGTTCATATTAATACTGCTGCTGTTTACCGCCGTGCAGCAAACCTTCAGTCCAGAAAGGCTGTGAAAGGGCCTTATCAGGCTGCATGGCTCCTCAGAGCAGTAACATGCATTGATTTAACTACTTTAGGTGGTGACGATACTGAATCTAATGTAAAGCGTCTTTGTGCCAAGGTATGTGTCATGATTCTGTTTTCAGTTTATTCTATTACATCCACCCACAGTGAAATACTAAGCGTATATGTTTGCTAATTTTTTAAAGGCTGCTCAACCAGTTTCTAATGACATGTTAAATGCTCTGGGTTTTGAGACTGGAAGTATACAGACAGCTGCTGTCTGTGTGTATCCTGCCAAAGTTCCAATCGCGTATGCAACATTAAAAAAGATGGGAATGGAAAAAAAAATTAATGTGGCTTCTGGTAATACAGTTTTAGACCTTATACGATTTATTATCAGCTATGCTTTCTCTTTGCTTTTCTCTTACAATGAAGTTCTATTTTCCAATGTCTTTTCTTTATTTTAATTCTAGTTGCTACTGGGTTCCCCTCTGGACAGTATCCACTGGAGACCCGTATTGCTGAGATTAAGTGGGCAGTTGAGAAAGGTGCAAATGAAATTGATATTGTTATTGATAGAAGTCTTGTGATAAACAAAATGTGGTCTGAGTTGTACCAAGAAATTAAGAAAATGAAGGAGGCATGTGGCTCAGCCCATTTAAAAACAATTTTGGCAGTTGGGGAGCTTGGTTCATTTGAAAATGTATATAAGGCATCCCTTGTTGCTATGATGGCAGGATCTGATTTCATCAAAACTTCTACAGGTCAGTCTTTTGTGTACTATGTTAAGCATAATTTCTATAAGACCACTGTAGGAAAGTAAAGTGATTTTCAGATAAATGTGAAGTTATTATATTTTAATTTAATGTTTCAGGCAAAGAAGCGGTTAATGCCACTATTCCTGTTGGAATTGTTATGTGCCGTGCCATCAAAGAATATTGGACAAAGACTGGCTATCAAGTAAGGATTTGCAATTATTCGGTTGTATGATATGAAGCAAGAACTGCTATTTAATATTCTTTTGTGACATTGCAGTTTCTTTTCTTATTTCTCCTTTTGTGGGAAAAAACTGTCTATCCTTTGAGAATTGTTTTCTTTCATAGTCTAACTACATAATTGCATTATTATTATTGCCCATTAAATTTAAAATTCTTTTTCCCTAGGTCGGTTTTAAACCTGCTGGTGGAATTCGGACTGCCTCTGATTCTCTCTCTTGGTTAATTATGCTAAAGGAAGAACTTGGTAACGATTGGCTGAAAAACTCAATGTTCAGATTTGGTGCTTCTGGACTACTTGGTGACATTGAACGTCAACTGCATCACCATATTACAGGGCGATACTCAAGTGCCAATCAGTTTTCAATGGGCTAAGTACTGATAATCATCATTGTTGTAAATAAGACTGATTTAAGTTGAAACTATTTGTTTTATAAAATGAACTAAGATTATTATTATTCAGTAAACTCCGATATAACGGACAAAAAATCTGTATGAAGTTTTACCGTAATTGTCAATTTTTATTCAAACAAAAATTTTTCTTTTTTTCATTTTTTTTTTTTGTTTGGTTTAAAATTGGCTATTTAAAACAAATGATAAATATTTTGTCATCAGAGAACATGTGAAAGCTGGCACATGAATTCTCCACAGCCCCAGACTACAAGGCAACTTGGCCTGAATAGACAAAATATTATTGTCAAATTAGCACAACTCAAATAAACGAAGTCTGGAAAGTAATTGCTGAGAAAAGTTGAAAGTATGTTTGGGAATCCCTGTCCCTAAGTCATGCTATCGATTTCCTATTTCAACCTCGGTTTGAGCTGGGATGTTGCCTTGGTGGTCGCTGTTGGTTGCTTGAACCTCTGTCGCCACGATTTTCTCCTCTGTTATTCATATCTTCACTCCAGTCTTCACAGTGCTAGAAAAACAAAGTAAATTATTGGGGTGCTTTGTAACTTGCAGTAAAATATCTATCACAAGTGAACATACTCTTTTTCCTTTCTCTTCCAGACATAATGCTAAGTTTTTAGCAAAGTCACATCTTCCATTTACGTTTCCCCCTGTAAAAATGGAGGAACAGTTGTGTATGAGAGCCATTTCTGGATGATAAATTTACATGTAATACTCAGCTGTAACTAACCTGTCAGGAGAATATCAAAACATTCATCAATTGATTCTTGTATGAAATCCTTCAGCTCCGGATCCCTGATACGTTGAGTCATTACGTTCATTACAGAGCCTTTGTCGGGATGGGAGTGCTCATTAACCTGGAAGACACAGTATCTCTTAAGCCATGCAATATTAAGGCAAAACTACAGTATCATATGATTCCATCAATAGGTTTCAGTACCATTTTCATTTGACGAAATATGCAGTGAACTATACACTGCAACATAAAAGAAGTAAAAATTGCTGTCAATGTGAGGGAATGCAAGATACATGTTAAGCAGTAGTGAACACATCTGAAACCGACGTACGGGTCTTACAACCCTGAGAACATCCCAGTTTCCATTGGACCTTGCCTATGTATACTTACAGCGTCCACCTGGTCGAGCATGGATTTGCTGCCTCCGCGGCGCCTCGCACCGAAGCCGTCGCTGCCGCCACCGCCGCCGCCGCCGCCCCTACCCGCGCTCCCGCTGCCTCCGGCCACGCGGCGGGTCCGCGGTCGGCTGCCTCGGCTGCTACCGCTGCCGCGGTTGCCCTTCCGGCTGCTCCCCGAGTCACCCCTGTTGCTGTTCTCCCCGTTGTTGCTGTTGGAGCCCGAGCTGCTGCTCCCGCTGCTGCCCTGGTTGCCGCCGCTGCCCTGACCGCCGCTGCCACCTCCGTTGTTTCCGCTGCTCATCTCACAGCCCCCGCCATTCCCTGTTGGCGACCAACGAGGAGTTACTCTGCGTCCCGGGCGGGCTAGTCTACCTTTTAAAAACTACGGGGCAGAGCGGCCACCCTGTAGCGACTCGCTACAGGCCAGTTTCATAAAGTGAGTACTTCTAGAACAAACTCACCACCGCCTCGGTATCCACCTTGCCTGTTGTCCGAGTCCGTGTAATCATCGTCAAGCGAGCTGGAGTGGTAGGTGGGACCTGGAACACGTTAAAGTAGTGTCTGGCCGATCCCCGTGGCGATTTGTTTGAGCGCCTGTACATTCATCCCACATTTGACTCAAATCAAATGCTCAGTCTCTTGCGCGGACCCTGTTCACGTACCTCCTCGGCTGCCATGCGAGCCCCGCCTACCGTGAGAGCCGTACGAGCTGCCACCGGACGAGCCACTGCCGTAATTGTTGCCGTACGTGCCGCTGCCGTACGCGCCGTTCCCGTACGAGCTGCCACCGTACGAGCCGCTGCCGCCGTACGAGCCGCTGCCGCCGTACCTGCCACTGCCGCCGTAGCCACTGTTGCCGTAACCGCCACTACCGTAGCCACCACTACCGTATCCACCACTTCCGTAGCCACCACTGCCGTAGCCTCCAGTGCCGTAACCACCACTGCCGTAACCACCACTGCCGTATCCACCATTGCCGTAGCCACTGCTCCCGTAGCCACCACTCCCGTAGCCACCGCCCCCGTAAGCACTGCTGCCGTAGCCGGCAGGACTTCCCCCGTAGCCGTATCCTCGACGGCCGCCTCGATCATCATCCTCCCCCGACCCGCCGTAGCCACTCCCTGGGAACACACGCGATAGAAAAACTCTGAGTTGGCCCAGCTTGTAATTAGCTAGGATAGGATATCAATGAGTATATCCAGTCAATCCAATTTGTTTAGGCTGGGGGAACTCATGTCTGGCTACCTTTCGCAAAGTTTTTGTGGGAACAGGTTACCTTCCATAAGCTGAGATGGAAAAGGCATCAGCCCTAATTCCGGTCGGACACGGTAGCTTCCACAGTTGATGTGTGGTGCTCCACTCCTACATTTCACGTGCAGCGAAAAAGCATTCCAGGTACGGAACCCAACGAGGTAAGCTACCAGCCAGCTCAGTTGTGTGTGGTGGGCCTACCGAGCGCCTAACGGACGCGAGGTAGGCCACCCGGCAGCGGGCAGCACTCGCGTGTGACGGGCCCCCTTACTTGTACTTTTGGCTGTCAATCGTTACCTGCGCACCTCGGTTGTTGTACGACTTGTGCTGCTCCTGGCGCCGGCCTCCTCTGTCGCGGTCGCGGTCGCGGTTCCGGTCATCCCCGGCCGAAGCCATTTCCCAGTCGTTGGAGACGTTGGCCATGCAGATCCGCACCGCCTCGCGGTAGTCTTCCTCGCCAGTCACGTCCCCGTCGTCGGTTCGGCAGCGAAGGGCCTGCACATGGCAACGAGACTCTCGGTTGGCAGCATCCACCCTTGGTGCCCGGGGGCGCGGCGGTGTGCGCGTCAGGTGTGGATACTCCCCGCGCGCCCAGCGGCCGGAGTATCTGCAGACAACGAACCTGGGCAGTGACGACAAGCAGCGCCAGGACGGCGACCGCCGACCCGGTGGACACGGAGCTCAGCGCCGGCATCACTGCGGGTCCTGGTCTCTGGACGACGACTGCAGCTCCCCGAGAGCCGAGCGCTGCGGCTCGCCCGCCGGGGAGCGTTCGGAGTGGGAGCCTCCCCTGCAGTCAGCGTGCAGAGGCTGCGTCCGGGATCGTCCGCGTCTCTCCGGCCGTGTCCGTGGCGGGCATCACCGTCATGGCCAGGGCCGCCAGGGTCGGGTCATTTGGATGTCAGCCGCACGGCCTTCCGGCAGCATCACAAT